CGCCCAACAGGTACTGGGTCCCGCCCCGGCCGCCCAGCCGGCTCTTTTCGGCCTGGGCAACTCCCTGCCGCTGCCTCCAGCTTCCAGTCCCGACCCCGGCCACTGGACGCCGGGCCAGTACCCAAGCACTGGCCTTTAGAGCCCAAGACTGGGTCAGCTCCTACAGCTTGTGCGACTTTGAGCAAGTCACTTGGCCCCGTGGAGCCTCTGTTGGCCTTCCGGGAAAAAACAGAAACGCCCACCTGGCAGAGTGGACTCTGAGGGTTTGCAGGACAATGAGGGTAGAATCTGTGGGGCACACATAATTGGTGCTGAGTGAATTTTAGACCCTCCTTTGCCCCGCCCTCCCTGTGACGTTGTCTCCAGAGAGCCACGCCCACCCCATCTCCTGCCCTATAGCTGGCCACACTGCCCCTCCCGCAGACTGGATGGGAGGAGCCCCTCCTTCCCAACAGGGACCCTCTAGGCCACAGAGTACTGGTCCCGGTGTGTGACACACAGTGGGGGCTCTGAAAGTGGAAGGTGCTATATACAGATCTGCGTGCCAGAGGGCTGGGGAGGAAGGCAGGTACCAGTGGCCACGTGGGCCACTTGCGCGAGGGTCCGATATAGAGGGGTGTTAGGGAGGTCTTGTTCCAAGGCCAGCGCTCCCTCCAGGCGCCGTCAGAACTCTGGATCCTCAGGCTGGGGGCATCCTGCGTGCCCTCACAGACGTTCCCCAACTCCTGGCCCTGCCTGCAGGTACCGCTATTACCAGAACGTGTGCACACACAGCTACTCCTTCGTGTGGTGGGACTGGGCCCGCTGGGAGCGCGAGATCGACTGGATGGCTCTGAACGGCATCAACCTGGCGCTGGCCTGGGGCGGCCAGGAGGCCATCTGGCAGCGGGTGCGTGCCCACCTGACCCCTCCCCTCTCCTATCCACTGCACCGGCCAGTCCTACAAATCTACCCACCCTGGGCCTGGAGAGGCGAATTTACCGTGTGCCAGCCCCTAGTACACAGTTTGTGAAGCTGGGGTCCATTTCCCCGCCCCCCCCCCCCACATGCAATCACTTAGCCAACCCTTTAGATTCCGGAATATCGGCAGCTCAGGGTCTGCCTCAGCCTTGTCACCCATGTTCAATACCTCGGCTCAGGCTCACCCCGCTTCGGCCTGGTCTCCTGCAGCCTCAGCACAGGGCTACTGGCGCACCAGTTTTTAGCAGCCTACCTTTCTGAAACGGAGTGCCCCTCTGCTTTCTGGCTGCACCCAGGCTCCAGCTCAGAAGCCTCGGTGACATCAGCTCCAAAGTCCCCAGGGGCTCTAGCTGTGCCCCACAGAGCTACTAGCCCCCATCCCTCAGTGAAGCCTTCCAGACACCTCTTTCCAGTTTGGGGGAGCCCCTTTGTGTCCCACCCCCACCCACATGACAAGTGTGGGACAGCGAGCTCACTGTTTCCAGGCTGGGTCAGTGTTCACGCCTGGCCTGTGAGCTCTTTGCAGACAGGGCCAGCTTCCCACGTGGCTTGGCAGCCCTGGCACCCAGCCTAGAAAAGATGAGTGTGCGCTCAGTGACGGACAGATGGGTGGACTTGGTGAGGGGACGCACTGATTGCCCTGGTTGTCCTCAGGTGTACCTGGCCTTAGGCCTGACCCCGGCAGAGGTGGACGAATACTTCCCTGGACCCGCCTTCCTGGCCTGGGGCCGAATGGGCAACCTGCACAGCTGGGGAGGGCCCCTGCCCCGTTCTTGGCACCTCAAGCAGCTTTACCTGCAGGTCAGGAGGCGGGGAAGGGCAAGGGTGGGAGAGGGGCTGGGACAGCCATGGTGCAGGAGGGTGGTGTGTGGCCAGCCTCGGGGCTCCTGGCTGCCCAGTGGGTACCCTGAGGCATGGGTGCTCACCAGCTCCCTCCCAACCTCCCAGCACCGGATCCTGGACCGGATGCGCTCCTTTGGCATGACCCCAGTGCTGCCTGCCTTTGCAGGACATGTCCCCAAGGCTCTCACCAGGTGAGACACCCCCCCCAGCCCGGCCCGGCCCGGAGAGGGAAGGGTTTAGCCCTGACACACATTAGTTGGAGAAGGGAAATGTAAGCCCTGGAACGAGACCCGAGTCCATTGGCTAGCCTGGTGATGTCAAGCAGGTGTCACGATTGCTCTGTGCCCCGGTCTCCTCCCCAGGAAACGGGTTCCTTCCCTCCTGTTCTGTAAAGGTTTGTTGTTAGCTAGACCTGTAGTGTGCTTGCTGAGTGAGGAGGCCTTGAAGCGCTTGCGGATGAAAACCACAGACATCAGCTCTCCAGATGGATTTCAACTCCCTGGAGAGAAACCCCAATCCTCGCCACCGCTCCACCAAGGATCACAGCACGATACACAGAGAAAAGGCTGACTTCGAGGATCCGCCTTGCTCGGATCCCGAATCACTGCTCGTGAAGCAGCAGTCCGGAGCTCAAAGGGTGTGTGGCATTGTGCACAATCCACTGCACTGACCTCTTTCCAGTGCTGCAGAGCAAGGGTGGCACTCGGAGGACTAAGGGGCGCTTCAGTGGTGTTTCAGTCACCTCGCATACCTGTGAGAGTCGCAGCACCCAACTGGACAGCACGTAACCACAGGTGCACAGAGGACAGGGGCCTGACAAGCCACGTCAGCCAGGAATCCAGCTGGGGATCGGCAGTAAATGGGAGAGCCTGGGAAACCCGGTGGGGCAGTTCTGTCTGTCACCTGGGCCACCAGGCGTCAGAATCCAGCCCAGGGCACTGAACACGCCCTTGGCCTAGCCGCTCTTATTAGCAGTAGGTTAGGCTCTCTGGTGGGCTCTGGCCCTCCTCTCCCTCTCCTCTCTGTATGTCCTGCCCACCCCTCCTCTCCTCTGACTGGGAAAGTTCTTCAAGGCCCAACCGAGACCTCACCTCCTCCAGGAAGCCTTCCCACAGCCCCAGCAGCATCCATCACCACCTCCTCCAGGACTCTGGTGCCTAGCGCAGCAGATGGCCTTGCGAGTTACCCGCCTCCCCCAGCTGCACGGACCTCATTCCTTCGCTGAGTGAATGTTTGCCAAACTGGGCCCCCGCTAGCCTCGGTTTTGCGTTGGGCCCTGGGGGAGCAGTGACAAAAGGTGTCCCAAGGGGACATGTTAGCAGAGGTCACAATCCAGTGAGATGTGGTTCCACCCCAGACATCTTTGCGGGGTCCTTTGATCCTGGGGAGAGAGGCCGAAAGGCACAAAGCAGAGCAGGGTGGAGCTAGGTCTTGAAACAAGAGGGCTGCTTGTTTATGCGGACACTAACGTAGGTGCAGCTGAGAGGGCTGGCAGAGCCCTGGTGGCGTAATGGGTTACATGTTGGGCTGCTAACCGCAAGATCAGCTGTTCAAAACCACCAGCGGCTCCTTAGGAGAAAGATGGCCTTTCTATTGTAAAGAGTTACAGTCTTGGATTCCAAGAGGGACAGGTCTACCCTGTCTTTAGAGTCACTGTGAGCCAGAACCGATTGGATGGCAGGGAGTTCGGGTGGGTTTGAGAGGAGTGACCAGGGATAAGCAGGGAGCGTGGAGGAAGGGCCTCTAGGCACAGGACACAGCAGGTACAAAGGCCTGGGGACTGGACACCAGAAAGCGGGTGGGGACAGGTAGGTCAGTTGTCAGTGAGGTGGCCAGGGGGCTGAGGACCAAGATGAGCACCATGATCATCGGACTGCCACCCGCCCCCATTAGGGTGTTTCCTCAGATCAATGTCACCCAGATGGGCAGCTGGGGACACTTCAACTGCTCCTACTCCTGCACCTTCCTCCTGGCTCCGAGGGACCCCATGTTCCCCATCATCGGGAGCCTCTTCCTGCGGGAGCTGACGAAAGAGTTCGGCACAGACCACATCTATGGGGCTGACACTTTTAATGAGATGCAGCCCCCCTCCTCCGAGCCCTCCTACCTGGCCGCCGCCACCACTGCCGTCTTTGAGGCCATGACTGCAGGTACGGGATGTGGGACAGGCCAAGGGGGATGAGAGGGGCTGGGGACACACAGCATGCTACCGCTTGCGTGGCCTTCGTCTCTGACACACAGGGGCGGAGCGTGCAGCCTCTGGAGCCAGATCACTGGCCCAGAGCCTGGCTCCCACCCTCCGTCTGTAAAGCGGGGACCTCATTAGCCTGGCCCAGGGTAAAACATTAATTAAGCGCCTGTTGTTGGAACGATTCCACCTGGTTCTGAATACTGAGGTAATACAGGCCAGAGGTTAGAGGGCATGCTCAAAACCAGTAGGTTTACGTTACAATAAAGTAGATCTTGCAATGATCAGAAACAGAAAAACAAACCAGGAGGTGATGGGAATCTAGTGTTCCTCCCTGCCATACTGGAGGGGCAGGGGGTTAAGTCAGGAGTGGCCTGGTGGACAGAGCTCCTTGTCAGGCAGCTGGAAGTGGATTAGCTCAGTCAGGAGCCAGCCAGATAGGCACATTCTCAGGCCCCCCAGCAGGCTTGCTGAATCAGAAAACCTGGGACTGAGGCCCAGGAATCAGTGTTCGATCGAGCCCCTTGCGTATACCTCTGATGTTCCACAAAGCCTGCGAGACACGATCAGAGGAGCCCAGGTGGTGCAGCGGTTAAGCACTCACCTGCGAAGCAAAAGGTCGGAGGTTTGAATCCACCTTGCTGCTCCGAAGAAGAAAGAGCTGGCAGTGTGCTCCTGGAAACACCTGCGGAGCTGTCCTGCCCTTTCACAGAGGGCTTGTGAGTTGGAACTGATTCTGCAGCACCAGCACCACCCTGGAGCTCCAGCTTGGGGGTAGGGGTGGTGGTGTGTGTATGTGTGTGTGTGTGTGTAGACAACAGATCCCCCCCCCTTTATTTCTCAGTTGAGTTCTGACACCAGCCGCCCACACATCCAGCACTACTCTTCCCTGCCTCACAGGACACCTCACTACAGACTGATGGACACATGCCAGCCACAAGTGTGGTTCTGACCGCCTGCCTCCCAATGCAGGGTTTCCCACCCACCCCCAGCTCGGGGGTGGGATCACTCTTAAGGCTCCCCGGCTTCAGACGCTCCGCTCCCACTAGGCCTTTGGGCTTGCTCATCCCCCTGCAACGGCTGGCCCCCAGAGCCCTGTTTACAACTTTCTGAGCAAAAAGAAGCTGCTGACCTGCCACGTGGCCCTCACCAAGCTGGAAGCCCACAGAGGTTTATCTGGGAGTCTCACGCCAAACCAGTGATTCGGTTCTGACTCAGAGCCACCTAGGGTGAGTCTGGGGCTTAATGTCCCTTTATGGGAACAGCCAGCCTCACCTGTTCCCCCGAGGAATGGCTGGAGGGCTGAAACCACCGACCTTGTGGTTAGCAGTCCAACACTCACCTGACAGCTCCACCAGGGCACCTTCCAGGGGACTTGTTATGTAATACCCATTCTCCCGTCTCCCCTGACCTCGGCTACTACCAGGTGGTTACGGGGGATCTCTGGGCTAGATAGCACCTTCCCACACCCGAGTTGCCACATCACCTCTAGTCTGGACTCCTAATAAAAGACACACACACACACACACACACACACACACATTCCAAGGTTTTTAAAAAGGGAGCGTCTCGTAGTTACCAAGGACAAGGATCACACTGTGAGTGACACCGAGCAGAAGCATTTACCTGAGGAATGGAGAGAATGTGCTCGTGGTCTCTTGGCCTTCCTCCGCTGATCGCCACGTTCCTTGTCCCCCTCTGCACCCCACAGTGGACTCTGATGCTGTGTGGCTGCTTCAAGGCTGGCTCTTCCAGCACCAGCCCGAGTTCTGGGGACCTGCCCAGGTGGGGGCCGTGCTGGAGGCCGTCCCTGCAGGCCGTCTCCTGGTTCTAGACCTGTTTGCCGAGACCCAGCCCGTGTATGTCCGCACAGCCTCCTTCCGGGGCCAGCCCTTCATCTGGTGCATGCTGCATAACTTCGGGGGTAACCATGGCCTGTTCGGGACCCTGGAGGCTGTGAACCGGGGCCCTGCAGCAGCACGCCTCTTCCCCAACTCCAGCATGGTGGGCACAGGCATGGCCCCTGAGGGCATCGGGCAGAATGAAGTGGTCTACGCCCTTATGGCCGAGCTGGGCTGGCGGAAGAACCCGGTAGCTGATTTGGGGGCCTGGGTGGGCAGCTTTGCTCGCCGGCGCTACGGCGGCCCCCACCAGGCTGCAGAGGCTGCATGGAGGCTCCTGCTGAGGAGCGTGTACAACTGCTCGGGCGAGGCCTGCAGCGGGCACAATCGCAGCCCCCTGGTCAAGCGGCCATCCCTACAGATGAACACCACTGTCTGGTACAACCGATCAGATGTATTTGAGGCCTGGAGGCTGCTGCTCACAGCCGCTCCCACCCTGGCTACCAGCCCAGCCTTCCGCTACGACCTGTTGGACGTCACTCGCCAGGCGGCTCAGGAGCTGGTCAGCCTGTACTATGAAGAGGTGAGGACTGCTTACAGCAACAAGGAGCTGGTTCACGTGCTCAGGGCCGGAGGCCTCCTGGTCTATGAGCTGCTGCCCGAGCTGGACATGGCACTGGCTAGTGACAGCCGCTTCCTCCTGGGCAGCTGGCTGGAAGAGGCCAGGATGGCAGCCGTCAGTGAGGCGGAGGGCCGTTTCTTTGAGCAGAACAGCCGCTACCAGCTGACCCTCTGGGGACCGGTGGGTAACATCCTAGACTACGCCAACAAACAGCTGGCAGGCCTGGTGGCAGACTACTATGCCCCGCGCTGGCAGCTCTTCGTGGGGGAGCTGGTTGAGAGCCTGGTGCAAGGTGTCCCCTTCAAGCAGCGCCAGTTTGACGAGAACGTCTTCCGGTTGGAGCATGCCTTCGTCTTCGGCTCACAGAGGTACCCCAGCCAGCCGCAAGGGGACACCGTGGACTTGGCCAAGAGACTCTTCCTCAAATATTACCCCCGGTGGGCAGCTGGCTCCTCGTGACCCCTCGACTAGCCTTGGGTCATGTTCGCCTCACATTCCAGGTCGGGGCAGGTTTCTGGGGCCCGGGGCTGGACAAGCCTCAGGAAGTCCCTGGGTCTGGGAGACAGGAGCCCACCACCTGCCAGTAGGGTCGGGTATGGGGGAGCCTCGCTGCACGCCGCATTCTGGATTGGGAACCTAAGTGTTGTCATTCTATCAAATCAATAAACGCGTGGCTCAGCCCTGGCCTGTCAGAATGAAAAGGTCGCTGACACCGTGCCTGGAGGGCTCTGGGCTTCAGCCTGGACCCCATCCTCACGAGTTCCAACTGCCCCGGTATGAATCCTCCTGGCCTTTGAGCACTCACTGCCCGGATGGGGGACGCACACCTGCTTGCAAGCAAACCCCCCTTCTCCATCCGCTGGAACAGCAACACAGCAGGTCCTGATGTCTGCCTTGACCCACAGTGGGCTGGAGAGTGGCCAAGGGACGTGCAGATGTCCTCAGCCTTGAGCAGTAGACACAACAAGAGGGGCGGGGTGGGGCAGGGTGGAGTTGTTGATAATCAGCCCTCTGACCTGAGACTGGGGCCATTGGTGTCCGGCCCCATAGCTTCCATCCATGGCCCGCTCCGTGGTGCTCATCACCGGCTGCTCTTCGGGCATCGGCCTGCACCTGGCCCTGCGGCTGGCATCCCACCCCTCGCAGAGCTTTAAAGGTATATCCAGAGATGGGATGCAGGGGAGGCGAGCCCACAAGCTGATGGGCCCCAGGAGGGGGAAGCAAGGAATGACAGCCCTTGGCCTCTCTGAACTTCAGTGTATGCCACGCTGAGGGACCTGGAGGATCAGGGCCCACTGTGGGAAGCCGCCCAGGCCCAGGGATGCCCTTCCGGCAGCCTGGAGACACTGCAGTTGGACGTGAGGGACTCAGAGTCTATCCGCGCTGCACGGGCACGGGTGGCCGAGGGTCGTGTGGATGTGCTGGGTGAGCCTGCCTGCCCCTGAATCCAAACCTGGATGCCCAAAGCCGGGATGGGGGGCGGCGTGGGAAGTGCGGGCTGAGGGTAGCAGGTAAGCCGAGATGGCCAGCCCTGTGTGCCCGCAGTGTGTAACGCGGGCCGTGGCATGATGGGACCGCTGGAGGCATACGAGGACCACGCTGTGGGCTCCGTGCTGGACGTGAACGTGGCCGGGACGGTGCGGGTACTGCAGGCCTTCCTCCCGGACATGAAGCGGCGGCGCTCGGGGCGAGTGTTGGTGACCGGGAGCATGGGCGGTTTGATGGGTGAGAGGCCTGCGGAGAGAGTACAGTTGGCAGGTGGCGGGGCTTAGATGCGTGTTTTGTTTTGTCTTTTTT